GACCTCATCGACAGACTCTCACATGCTAGCATATTTACGAAGCTTGATCTGAGATGGGGGTTCAACAACATAAGGATTAGGGAAGGAGATGAAGAGAAAGCCACCTTCATTACACATCGTGGCCTCTTCGAACCCACTGTAATGTACTTCGATTTCTGCAATGCTCCTAGCACCTTCCAAACAATGATGAATACAGTCCTCGAAGACTTAATTCGCACTGGAAAGGTGGTAGTCTACCTAGACGACATCCTCATATTTACGGATGATCTCGATGAACACCGACGACTAGTGAAAGCAGTTCTACAGCACCTCCAGGACAATGACTTATATGCCAAACTGGAGAAATGCTTCTTTGAACAGTCCTCAATTGAGTATCTTGGCATGATCATCAGCAAGAACTCAGTACAGATGGACCCTGCTAAAGTCGAAGGTGTACTTGGCTGGCCCGCACCGACCAAGGTCAAACAAGTACAGGCCTTTTTAGGATTCGCGAATTTCTACAGGCGATTTATAAAGGACTTTGCGAAACTCGCACGACCTTTAACGCTTCTCACCTGTAAGGACGTGCCCTGGCAATGGAAGGAAGAGCAAGACCAAGCCTTCAGTGCACTTAAAACGGCGTTCACTTCAGCCCCGATCCTACAACTCCCCAACGACACTGCACCATACCATCTAGAGACAGACTCTTCAGACTATGCAACTGGTGCAGTACTCGAACAACTAGGGGAGGACAAGCTATGGCATCCAGTCGCATACTACTCTAAGTCACTCAACGAACATGAGCGGAACTACGAGATTTATGACAAGGAGATGCTTGCTATTATTCGGGCACTCGAAGAATACCGGCACTATTTAGAAGGACATCCAGAACCCATTGAGATTTGATCAGACCATCTCAACCTTACATACTTCCATCAGGCACAGAAATTATCCTGGCGCCAAGCGCGCTGGTCATTATTCCTCACCAGATTTAATTTCATTCTCAGTCACCGACCTGGAAAGACTATGCTACGTGCTGATCCTCTGTCCAGGAGGCCAGACCATGAGAGGGGGGTAGACAGCGACAATTCGAACCAAATGCTGTTAAAACCTGAATTTTTCACTATCAATGCGATTCGACTCGCTCACGCATCTGAAGTTGATGATGCTCAACTATTGGAAAGGATCAAGAAGGCACTCACAGACGACACGATGACCAAGGATTATCGTGCGCTTTTGACTACAGGACAGCGCGAATTTGGGAAAAACCTCACAGAATGGAACTTTGAGCACGGACTGCTGCTCCATCGTGGAAAGGTTTATGTCCCCAAGAATCAACAGCTATGCCTTGACCTAATAAAACTTTATCACGACACCTTACCAGCCGGACACCCCAGCAGGTTCAAGACATTGGAGCTTATTACTCAGAATTATTGGTGGCCAGGAATGTCTGTAATGGTTAAACAATATGTACAAGGTTGCGACAGTTGTCAACGCAACAAGTACTCAAGAGAAAAACCATACGGACTACTACAACCAAACGAGGTACCAGGAGGACCATGGGAGATCGTCACAGTAGATCTCATCACACAACTTCCTCCAGCCATGAACTTTGGGGGAAAGAAGAAGACGGCAATACTTGTCATCATGGACAGACTCATGAAGCGAGCGCACTTTTATGCAACAGATGATACAGTCACATCGTCGCAAGTCGCTAACGTATTCTATAATGAAGTCTTCAAACTCCATGGATTGCCGCGCCAAATTATCTCAGACAGAGGTACTCAATTTGCAAGCAAACTATTCCAGGAGTTTTGCCAGAAGCTCGGTATAAAGTCAACAATGTCCACTGCATATCACCCCCAGACAGA